TCTATAAGAATATATGTTATAACAATATCAAGGCTAAAATTTGCGAAATTTTAAGATTATTTTAAGAATTAAAAAACTGTAAATACAATACAATTATATGTTTTCAACTTATTCCATTCTCTAAAGGGCAAAACTTGTCAACAAAACGAAAAATCCTGCACTAACTATAATTGATACCCCAAAATATTCTAAAAGGGACATGTCATAAGCGATAATTTAAGAATAATACAAGATTGTTTTCAGCTTTAAAAATCCATTGCGTGACTACATTGTAACACTTCTCCTCGTTAATCTTGCAGATGTCTAGCAATACTTCTTCTTCGGCGGCCTATCTCTCTTTAGCTCAAAGCCTGTTTCCATTGGGTCAAGCAATCTCTCAACCAGTAGCTAGCCTGCTTGTAAAAAAGCTGCGACAGATTAAGATTGTCCTCATCGGTTCTATCATAATTGCCATTGGCGGGAACGTGACATACATGGCAGCGGATAGAGCGAATTCTGTTGCGCTGATTATCCTGGGAAGAGCTTTAGCTGGTTTTGGGGCAGGTAAGGTGGGGTGGACTGAATTCATTTGCCGTTAATTCGTATACGGTTTTCTTTTTCAATAACAATTAATGCTGAATTAGAATAACTGTTTTTTCGAGTTTTGATGAAGACGATTATTCTTTGACACTGCTGGAAACACCTTGTGTGTGGGGAGGGGGAGGGGGAGGGCTACGAATTTGACCCCCAACCAAACAAACATAAACTTTTGTAAAGTTCTGCGATTTTGCAGAGTTACAGTTAGTTTTTAACAAATATCGTTTAAACTTGGCAACTTTACTGATTTTAAGGCGTTTCCAGCCACAAATTATCGCTAACTGGCGCCAGTTTTAAGTTGAAAAAACTGTGGAAGAATCTGTTATGTTGCTACCGCTACCAATCTGTCTGAAGGCTTCGTTTTGACGGTTATCTCCCGGGCGGGGTGTACTCCCGTATTTAAGCTATATAGGTATGTGCCGCCCCAAAGGATAGGGTTTTTGCGCCGTTTTGGTCAGAAAACGGGTATAGACTTTGCTTATTTTGGTCTGAAATCGGGTATGGTTTTTAGGCGAACTACGGGAGTGTACGAACGTATTAATTCTTTCAATTCCAAATGATTAAGAAAGAGAGAAATATGCGAGTTCGAAATGGTTTTCAGAAATCTTTTTTGTTGCTGTTCTAATCTAAGTAATTATGACATAATCTCTTAAAGGCCAGGTCTGAGAATGCGTATGTATTTTGGAGGCCAGGTCTGAAAACGGGTGTGAAAAATGACATTTTTTGGTCTGAAATAGGGTCCCGGATTTGGAGAACCGGACGGCACTCCGCACACCCCTGCCAAAAATTCCTAGGAGTACCCCCGGGGGATATCTCTTGAAGTGAACAAGAAGGAAAGATAAGTTTGATATTTTAAAGTGACTGCTGATATGTGACCCTTCCTACTAGGTAGCGGAGGAGTAGCTTATGGTTTTATAGGTGCTAACACCAGCCGAGAAAGCCGCACCAAGTTTATGTCTTATTACAGGGTTACGTGTATGGCTGGAGTAATGTCCTCCACGATTGGTGAGTTTCTGATTATTCACGCCAGGAGCCCGTACCACTCCTGATCGATTATATAAGTATTGGTATCAATTTTTCGTTCCGCGACCAGCCACATTTTGCAGGCTGGTCATTACAATTGGCAGTTCTAACAACAACAAATACACTCAATATTTTTACTTTATTTTTAGTGTGTTATTATAAATACCACTTTATTTTTAATATTTATTGTCGTCATCATCATCAGATCGTCGTCACCATCACTGTCTTCATCATCATCATCATCATCATCATCATTTCATCACCATTATCGTCACTACCGCCATTGCCGCCATCATCATAATCGCAGGATTACATCGTCATCATCGCCATAATAACTTCTATGACAACATGGAGTAGTACCTTAAGCTTCGATAATCATTTTGTACTTTGAATTTTTCCCCTCACTTGGCTAAACTAAGAAGCGTTATAATGCATTCACGAATAATAAGAATACATTATAACGTATCCTACCTCCTCATCAAGTTTGAATTCTAGTTTGCTATAACTAGGGGAAGAAAACATTTCTGATTGCTTTGAATTTGTTTTCAGCATCTGCCACCTTCTTACCCCACTTTGGCAAGAACGTTATCGGTAAAGCAACAGGATTAGATGAGTATTCTGCCCCTGCAGCTCTTACTATTCTCTTTTTGTGCGTCAGTTTGGTTCTGGTCACCTTCGTACTAAATGAAAACAACTGTTCACCGATAGGTAGGTTTATTCATATTTCTGTGGTCTTTAAGACTAGTTTAGCAATGGAAAATTTTGTTCTATTTTTTTAATACGTTCACATTCAATTCCTTCTTCACATTTGTTTTCCAGGTGGCTCAGATGCTGGCACATCGGTAAAAAGCTTGCTCAGGTCACGTGGTGTACTTTTGGGTCTGATGCTGTATCTTTTGAATGGTTTTGTGACCACATGGGTGGGATTTGTACTGCCTTTGATCGCGTACAACCATTTCCATTTTATATTGCACAAATATGGCTGGCTAATGGTCGGCGTGTCTGCATCAAAAGCGGTTTTTCGGCAAAATCGCCGGGGGCGAAGGGGTTAGGGCGCCAAAAAAAATCCTGGCGCAGCCCAAAGACGAAAAAAAAATTCTTACCTAGACGAAATTGTCTACCCCTCCCCCCACCCCCCACTCAAAAATGGTCCCCCCTTATGCAGTGTTATGTTTCCTTTCTTTTTTTTTTCGCTTGTTCTCGCTCTTTCATACCTTTTATGGGCATCACGCAGTCCTAAAACCCGACAGGCTGAATGCACAAAAAGATTGTTCAAACCATTCTGGACACTTGTCGCGCAGGAAGGCAATCTCCGTCTAACCAAATGCTCCACCAAGCTCCTTAGTGGGGGAGGGTCGGGAATTGGCAACTTTTCATCCCACTGGAGTACTCTAGTTTGCAAGGTTGTTTGGTCGAAAGAGTTCTGCAAAATATCAATGAGAACGTGAAGTTCTAGCCGACCTGACATGGTATAAGAATGGAAGTGAACAACGTGTTGTTTAAATTGTCAGATTTTTTTAAACCAAGAGTTTAAACCTATTTCAGAAAACAAACTATGCTCCAATTTCTGGAAAAAATCCTTTTCCTGAAGGTTCACATCTTTTAAAATTAAGTTTGGAGTTTCGCAATTAAAGGGAGATGAAGAGGTCATTCTGTATCGAAGAGAAAAAAATATTACACTTCAATCCCGATTGTTGTTTGACAACAAAAAATTAAAGTAAGGTAATCGCTCACCTGCGCACATCTTGATTCTTCTACTATCTCTTTCTCGGATGCATATTTTGTTTTTGTCGCTGTGAACAGAAGTGGAGAACAGAAATTCTTGTTGTGTAATGCGCTCCTGCAAAGGCGATGACGCCACAAGCGATACATCGTTGTAGAGACTAAGTCTCTCTAGCATTACCCTCTCGCTTCCTTAGTTTTTCGGTTTTAAAAATAGCAATGACATTTCGTGGAAAGGAAAAGTGCCAAGGGAAGCGGAACTAGGATTTTGTATGATCTAATCAATCGCGGCATGTCACGGGGCAAAGGGGCATTCCCTTTTTTACATGAGATGCGCTTTGAGTGGGTTGCGCTGCTAACGTCAAAGTGGAATCAAGAAATGTGTCATAATCCAAATTTTGTTCCTTTTTTTGTGGAAAAGAATTGTGAAATTGGTTTAAACGGAAGTGCAGACTAGTCACGCGCTCTGCAAAGATCTGGTAATATTTGCATCTATTTTTACTCACGTTTTAAATCAAAGCACATTTATATCATCTCGACTTTTTAGGGAAAAGTATAATCATGTAGAGGCGTCCTGCCGCTCCCGATCATACCGTTGCTGGCGACATACATTTCGCTGACCTGTAAAAGAACTCATTCCTAAACCAGCCGTGAGCAAATAGAGCTTTCATGATGCCTCTAAGCAAGACGAACATAGCCGTGGTTTTTCTTGTAGGTTTCGTCAATTATTTGGAATGGGCCATTGTAATGACTTCAATATACCCGTATATTCTTTCGGTAAGTAGTCACTGACATTTCTACGTTTGTAAAAATAATTACAAATGCAACTGGATCATGGAAAATCAGTATTGTAAATGAAATGGCTTAATTAATAGCGATCAGAAACTGGAAGTTGTTTCACGCGCATAAAATCACTCTTTCTTTTGGACGGGTTATTGCAATTAATTCAATTTTGCCTTCAGAAAAACTGAAATAAATAGAAAATAAGATCAGCAATGTCCTGATATCTTCGCGCTCATAATCGAAAACACACTGAGATTTGAGGATTTACGGTTTCCGGTGGATTTTGGATTTTTAAATACGGTGCCTTTTATGTCGTTTTAACAGAGTAACGAGGTCAAAAAATAAATAAATAAAATAGGTTAAGCGAAAGCATTGGCATTTTATTAAATCACAAGCTGTTGCTTTCCCAAAACTGCCCTTTCTATAAGAATATATGTTATAACAATATCAAGGCTAAAATTTGCGAAATTTTAAGATTATTTTAAGAATTAAAAAACTGTAAATACAATACAATTATATGTTTTCAACTTATTCCATTCTCTAAAGGGCAAAACTTGTCAACAAAACGAAAAATCCTGCACTAACTATAATTGATACCCCAAAATATTCTAAAAGGGACATGTCATAAGCGATAATTTAAGAATAATACAAGATTGTTTTCAGCTTTAAAAATCCATTGCGTGACTACATTGTAACACTTCTCCTCGTTAATCTTGCAGATGTCTAGCAATACTTCTTCTTCGGCGGCCTATCTCTCTTTAGCTCAAAGCCTGTTTCCATTGGGTCAAGCAATCTCTCAACCAGTAGCTAGCCTGCTTGTAAAAAAGCTGCGACAGATTAAGATTGTCCTCATCGGTTCTATCATAATTGCCATTGGCGGGAACGTGACATACATGGCAGCGGATAGAGCGAATTCTGTTGCGCTGATTATCCTGGGAAGAGCTTTAGCTGGTTTTGGGGCAGGTAAGGTGGGGTGGACTGAATTCATTTGCCGTTAATTCGTATACGGTTTTCTTTTTCAATAACAATTAATGCTGAATTAGAATAACTGTTTTTTCGAGTTTTGATGAAGACGATTATTCTTTGACACTGCTGGAAACACCTTGTGTGTGGGGAGGGGGAGGGGGAGGGCTACGAATTTGACCCCCAACCAAACAAACATAAACTTTTGTAAAGTTCTGCGATTTTGCAGAGTTACAGTTAGTTTTTAACAAATATCGTTTAAACTTGGCAACTTTACTGATTTTAAGGCGTTTCCAGCCACAAATTATCGCTAACTGGCGCCAGTTTTAAGTTGAAAAAACTGTGGAAGAATCTGTTATGTTGCTACCGCTACCAATCTGTCTGAAGGCTTCGTTTTGACGGTTATCTCCCGGGCGGGGTGTACTCCCGTATTTAAGCTATATAGGTATGTGCCGCCCCAAAGGATAGGGTTTTTGCGCCGTTTTGGTCAGAAAACGGGTATAGACTTTGCTTATTTTGGTCTGAAATCGGGTATGGTTTTTAGGCGAACTACGGGAGTGTACGAACGTATTAATTCTTTCAATTCCAAATGATTAAGAAAGAGAGAAATATGCGAGTTCGAAATGGTTTTCAGAAATCTTTTTTGTTGCTGTTCTAATCTAAGTAATTATGACATAATCTCTTAAAGGCCAGGTCTGAGAATGCGTATGTATTTTGGAGGCCAGGTCTGAAAACGGGTGTGAAAAATGACATTTTTTGGTCTGAAATAGGGTCCCGGATTTGGAGAACCGGACGGCACTCCGCACACCCCTGCCAAAAATTCCTAGGAGTACCCCCGGGGGATATCTCTTGAAGTGAACAAGAAGGAAAGATAAGTTTGATATTTTAAAGTGACTGCTGATATGTGACCCTTCCTACTAGGTAGCGGAGGAGTAGCTTATGGTTTTATAGGTGCTAACACCAGCCGAGAAAGCCGCACCAAGTTTATGTCTTATTACAGGGTTACGTGTATGGCTGGAGTAATGTCCTCCACGATTGGTGAGTTTCTGATTATTCACGCCAGGAGCCCGTACCACTCCTGATCGATTATATAAGTATTGGTATCAATTTTTCGTTCCGCGACCAGCCACATTTTGCAGGCTGGTCATTACAATTGGCAGTTCTAACAACAACAAATACACTCAATATTTTTACTTTATTTTTAGTGTGTTATTATAAATACCACTTTATTTTTAATATTTATTGTCGTCATCATCATCAGATCGTCGTCACCATCACTGTCTTCATCATCATCATCATCATCATCATCATTTCATCACCATTATCGTCACTACCGCCATTGCCGCCATCATCATAATCGCAGGATTACATCGTCATCATCGCCATAATAACTTCTATGACAACATGGAGTAGTACCTTAAGCTTCGATAATCATTTTGTACTTTGAATTTTTCCCCTCACTTGGCTAAACTAAGAAGCGTTATAATGCATTCACGAATAATAAGAATACATTATAACGTATCCTACCTCCTCATCAAGTTTGAATTCTAGTTTGCTATAACTAGGGGAAGAAAACATTTCTGATTGCTTTGAATTTGTTTTCAGCATCTGCCACCTTCTTACCCCACTTTGGCAAGAACGTTATCGGTAAAGCAACAGGATTAGATGAGTATTCTGCCCCTGCAGCTCTTACTATTCTCTTTTTGTGCGTCAGTTTGGTTCTGGTCACCTTCGTACTAAATGAAAACAACTGTTCACCGATAGGTAGGTTTATTCATATTTCTGTGGTCTTTAAGACTAGTTTAGCAATGGAAAATTTTGTTCTATTTTTTTAATACGTTCACATTCAATTCCTTCTTCACATTTGTTTTCCAGGTGGCTCAGATGCTGGCACATCGGTAAAAAGCTTGCTCAGGTCACGTGGTGTACTTTTGGGTCTGATGCTGTATCTTTTGAATGGTTTTGTGACCACATGGGTGGGATTTGTACTGCCTTTGATCGCGTACAACCATTTCCATTTTATATTGCACAAATATGGCTGGCTAATGGTCGGCGTGTCTGCAACAGCAACAATAGCATCGTTAAGCATGGCGCAGGCGTCTAAATCCAGTTGTATGGGTAACAATAGAAACGGTGACTGGAGAGCATTGGTGATTTCATATACCGTCATGATAATCGCAATAGTTATTTGCTATCTGGGTGGTCCTTCGGTGAGTATCACTTACTAAAAGATTTTACAGTAGTTGTTCGATTCTTTTGCACGTGATTCACTTCGATCGTCTCTAGGCAAGAGAAGACCCATTCTCCATTCTCCCTCTTTTTATAAAGAAGCGGCTATCGTAACATTCGGAGCCTGCCGGCCAGGTTAGACTGTGCGCCTAGATAAAAGAAAAAATTGGCGCAAAATATCTCATCCCTGCAAAAGGAAAGTGTTAGATTAGGAAAATAAAATAATTATTGCTCCAAGGTAACTCGTAACAATGATGGTAGTACGGCAGTTATTTGGCTATTTGAGCGTATGTTAGAGAAGTTTATGCATCTTTGCTTTTCGTTTACATTACCAGATAAGAAGAATGTATGTGTTTAGGTAATGTGAAAGAAGTTCATAGAAAGATATTAATTCTATATATTATGCGTTTCTTCAGGTTTTAAAGTCTTTACCAGTTGCAGCTAAGGAAGGGCTCTTTATAAGCGGAGCGTTAATGGTGTTTTTAACTTACTCTGTGGCTGGAGTGGTATTGCCTTCATTGATGACCAAATATGTACCCAAGTCTATGATGGTAGGTGCACAAAGCATCACGGGACCCATGTTGAAAAGCACGGGAATCTATCAGTAGGAATAATTGCTGTTGTGTTTCTCCTCATTTCTAACAAAGCGATTTTCGTATGACAAGTGAATACAACGGTCACCATAACATCAGACAAACTGACAAGAAGCGGTGTGGCTTTCGATGTGGATTTCCATAGATCAGAGAGTTAGGTCAGACACAGGCGGACTTGATTGGTTTATTGCACTGAGGAAAAAGAAAAGGCGTGGCGAAGCTTATTAAATTGTTTTCGCGAATTGAAGCAATCACGCAGCGCGATTTTGATTGGCTTAGCGAGATGAGACAAACGCGAGGCAAGCCCTCTGACTGATTTAGCGAATTTGGTCATAATGCTAAGAAGCGGAAAGATTGCACGCGCTGAAAAGTTGTAATATCCTTCTACGAGATAATGAGTACTTTTTATCCTGTCAAATCTTGGCGGATTAGAATTACCACCCACATTCGTGGATGGGAAAGGTTTTTAAGCTAACATGGTCATATTTTTCAATTCCTCTTTCAGCCAGTTATAATGCCTTATGGTATCGCCGCAATGTCCGCAGGAAAAGTTGTTGCTCCACTCCTTAGCAAAGCAGAGTTGGTGATTCAGGGCTGGGACCTTCTTTTCATGGGATCCGCTGCTCTAACACTGGTTGGTCTGCTGTTGTTTTCTTATCTATATCGCGCTCCTCAGCCTGAGGAAACACCACTTCTCCCTGAAAAAAGACATACAGAATCAGTAGAGGAACCTATACTTTCTTCAGTAGAACAAGGACTCATGAACCCACGAGGGAAAAGACTTGAAGAAGTGTCGGGATATTTTGATAGAAACAAGAAAGAAAAACACAATCAAGACGATTAAAGAAACAAATGCCGTCACGGCCAGTGGAAGTCAAGAAAAAAAGCGGAAGTGCTTTCCTTCTCCGCTCTGTCCTTTCCTTAAGATTGCGGATGGGATAAGTTGTTCCCAGGAGCGCCAGCGTTAATCCTCGTCAGCTCCAGTAACATGTTCCTGGGCAAGAATATTTTGTCTAAATTTCTTCTTAACGCTGTTTTAAGGTTACAAGTCATTCACTCAAGCAATTCAGACCTGGGAATTAAATTAAGACTGTACTTTGCATTAAACAGAAATGCCATTTGTACTGATTGCTTGCAGTCAACTAAATATGCTAAACCGAAAAAGTAAAATAAATTGTGTATGGATCGAGTATGGAAGAAAATGGGAAAAATTGGGTAT